GAGCTAGGATGTTTCCATTGTTGGCTTTATCATTTACTTTCTAGTTGGTAGTAATGGTGCCAGAATTCATCACCTGGCACATCTCTGTCCAAGTTGTACTCAGCATGATTTCGGAAAAGATGCTGCAAGGACAATCCCATGAGAAGCCATCTTTGATTGTCTGTGAGATTGTATGGCACCCACTGGCACTCAGTTTCCTGTAGTGCAGTTTTCTCATAGTGATGGCTCAGACAGAACCGAAACTGTGTCTTGTTTTTGCATGGATGATCCGGTCAGCTTCATTCACCAAAGCACCTGTGATGACAAGGTGACTTTGACCAGTTCGCGGATCCTCTTTCAAAGATTCCTGTCCCTCCTGGAAATGCTTGTGCCAGTTCTGCACTCAACTCAGTGATAGCGAGTGTTGTCCATACACTGTTTTCATTCACCTATAAACTTCACGAAGTACAACATCTTTCTGCTGCTAAAAACGAATTATGCTACATTACTCTTCTTAAGTTGGAAACATTATGCAGACATGGATGAAATGACAAATGATTGCCCATTGGGCGACACTATTGGTTGACTACCAGCACATATCACGTAGTTCTGAGTGATAATGTAGGTCAAGTCCATTCCCTAGTAGTTGGGTTGTCTTTCTTAATACCAGCACTTCCTTTACGCTCAGTTTTCATGACACTTGTGCAAAATTATCAAATTATGACCACTGTCATTTGAGTGTACTCAAACAGTGAAGACACAATTCAGAACTGGTTTCAATCTGAGCCAAATTCTTTCTATGAACGAGGTATTCACCATTTGTTGCAACACAAGTACTTGTGTAATTTGGGTGATTACATTTGAAAATAAATAATGCCTTTGCATTTTGTGGCTACTGTTCTATTTTCATTTGATTCACCCTTATAGATAGCTCTACTGTATAAATCTAGTTTGTAATATGAAAAAGCTAATCTTTTTGAACTGTTATACTAAACAGTTTCCATCTATGAAATTATGGAAGGAATGTAATTAAATTATGGTTCCACATTATAACTTAAAATTAAATATATTCTAAATTGCAAGAAAACATTTTATTGGTAATAATTAAGTAACAGATGTCTAAATTTCAGTCTTTCTGTCTTTCTCTTTTCATTTCCTTATGTATCTAGAACACTGATAGCTCATGCAGCTTGGCAAGTTGCCAGTTTTAAGAGATGCTGTTTATTCATGTGGGCAATGGATCTTTAATTTATTTTTTAAAATAAAACTATGCTTTGCATGACAGATTGAACATTTAAAAAACATTTTTCTCAGTAATTTTTTCTAATAATCTAATTGATATAATTTATATAATACCTTTATTTAGTATAATTTATAATAAATCTAAATTATAATTTTTTTGGCTAGAGTATATTTAAGGGTGCCCCTTGAATTATCGCTAAGTTGTTTCATTTATTGTAACTTAAGTAGTTGAATCTTATGGAAACCCTATTATGATGTAATTGGTTGCGTGAATTTGACTGATGGGAAAAGATTTGTAAGGGCTTGTTTGTGTGCTGGATGTAGGTTAGGAAGTACGTTGTTTATTTTGTGGTTTATATGGTAAAATGGCTGAATGTGTTAAGATTAATTTAAAGTTACTGTACGATTTGGAATGAAAGGGAGAAAAGCATTAGTTGACTGGTGTGTAAATATAATTATAAGTGTCCTGTTGGTACGAAGGAAATGCGTATGGTCGAATGTCGGAGGATACCAGCACTACGGAGGATACTATCGGAGAATACTGGCACTTGTTTTTTACTCTTATTTTTGTGAATTTATGTGGCACCATCAGTATACAGATTCTAGTTCAGACAATTTTGTGAAGTTTTAGGATGCTGTTAAGGAATTTTGTTTGACTGAAGACATGGAAATTTCTAAATAAGGTAAGTGGGTATTTCATTGTGTAGTGCTTAGATGCTATAAGGAATTTCCTTTTTTATGTTACTACGTTGTTTGATTTAAAATTTAGTTTATTGAGATTCTATATCTTTTGTTTGGCTCTAGTGTAGAATTGGCTGCTCCTTTGACCTTTTTAAGTAAAAATAGATCGGTGTGTTCATAAGCAAAGTAAAGGCAGTGTGCAATGCCAAGTTCATGCAATTCTCTGATTCTCTGATCTCTGATTTTGGCTTTGTGTAGCGGCGATTTTTGACGCAAAAATTGCCGCTACACAAAGGTAAAATAACAAGTCAAAGAATGGCACAAACTTGGTGTCCAAGTACCGCCAATGGTCCACCCGTAAATATATTTTTACCTAATTTTTTTATTTCAGTGTACAACATCAGTATATAAAAGCTGTTTTAATGGTACGAGTATATATTGGTATATTACAGAATAATCACTTGAGTAGTGCAAAATGATGAACATGTCATATTTTTCATAATTTTATTTTTAGGGCATTGTCTTTGCATTAAAAACTGTACTTTACATATAACTTGCATACTTTTATTGGATAGGATGGCTTACTGTGGTGGTTGTAGAACTGTTGCACTGAAATCTAGATATTTGACAAATGTTTTCTCTCTTTTTTTAAGCATGTATCATCATGTAATCAAGAGTTGTCTAGTAATATTTATATACAGGGTGTTTTATCAAATCAGTTGCAGACTTTCTGGAGAGGTAGAGAACATCTAGATGATGGAAAATCACATAACAGTGCGTGGTTAGAAACACTTTCTTAGTGCAGTAGTGATGACACAAAACACAAAAAAAGGAAGGACATGAACGGTGTGACAAAACATGTTTTATTATGTTTAGTATAGCAGAAACCAACAAATAAAAACAGACAACAATTTTCATTAAAGAAAGTGTTCAAAATTATAACCCCATACCGTGATGCAGGCCTCGCATCTCCAGCGCTAGGAAGATGCAGGATGCGCGGTTCCTGCATAACAGCCTGGATCATAATTTCAAACACCTTCTTTTATGACGATCATCTGTTGTTCTTGTTTCTTGGTTTTTGCTGCACTAAGCATAATAAACATTATTCTCAGCCTGTTCCTGTCCTTCCTTTCTTGTGTTTTGTGTCATTACTACCATGCCAGGAAAGTGTTTCCGAGCATGCATTGCTGTGTGTTTTTCCATTGTCTAGGCATACACTATCTGTCCTGAAAGTTATGAACCGATTTTCTGAAACACCCTGTATAGCAGTTTTCAAAGGTGTACTAGAGAATATGTTAATACTGTTTAGAAAAGTGGTATGTTATTTTTCTGAAACTGTAGTGATATTTTATCCCACTCATACACATAACTGTGCTACTAGTGCTAATTTTTTGAAAGATTCTTCTGTAGTCAATTCTGATCAGTTGCAATCATAAGTAATCAATTATTTGTTCAGTTTATGTAAATTTATTCATAGTGCAAAAATGAAAATAGTGATGGAAAGTCTTTCAGTAATATTAATGCAGAAGGATTCCTTTTATTAAAACCAGTTAATTACATGAGTATTCAATAATTTGAATTTTTCACCAATATCAATTTAATTATCAAATCTTCTGCAGTTCTGTGCATTGAAGTTCATTGCTCTGATAATGGTGCTGTAGTCTGTCTTTTATAAGTGATTTTTGTGTGTGTGAGTTTTGATGCAAGTAGTGAAAATATTAACAGACTTTGATTTAAAGAAAACCAGTTTTTACTACTAAAATTGTTGTGTGTTCCATGATTTGTGTTATATTCTCTGAAAATGTGATTTTTAGATGATGATGAGGTTATTGAAATCTTCTAAGCAGAAAGTGTGTTTTCTTTTTATTAAAGTAACTCTGCATAATTATAACATTTCATTAATGCTTTAATTTGTATTCATTGTAAACATAATACTTTATTTCCAAGGGAAAGAAGTATATTAAATTCATACATCTCTGAAATCAAGGCTTATCAAGGTTATATTTACATATCAATACTTGTTATAGGTACACTTCTCATAAAGAATGAAATATTTTATGTTTTTCCCCTGTGTATTTCTGATAAAAAATATGAATTTTTACTTGTTGTTCCGTCATATTTACATAGTCTTGCAAAACCTATAATGGTGATTCATCATAATTTATTTTTTTTTCTTGACACGTTGACTGCCTTGGGGGGTCACTGGTGGCCGGGACTCGACTTGGCTACAGCGCTGTGGGGACCACCGGTGACCAGCGGCACGACCAACAGTAAAAATATATAATTAGAGTAAATATCGATACAGATAAATTTTTAAATGATATCCATTGTTACTGTAATGTTTTGAAGAGTAATAGATCGCAAAAATTTAAATAATAAATCACCAAAATGGTCTGCAGCACGTCAGGGGTGAGCGATAACCCCCACCAGGAAAAATGCATTAGAAACGATTAAATAACTCACCTTATCTTCTGTAGATAATATTTCAACATAGTATGCATCGAATAATAAAAAATTCATGTTGGTGCCATGGGCGAACCATGTAAAATGCACGCAGCATTCAACGTGTTAAATGTTATTTTGTATAATGCTTCCTTCATGCAACTTGAAAATCTGTTATTGTTAGCTTCCAATTATCAGTTTAACTGAGACCTTTTAAGTCTTGAGTTTTTATGAAAAGAGAACTAATTTAGAAAGTAAATAATAATGAAAGTAACTCAGATCTGTGATCAAGACCAAAGAATGTGTAATCAAAATTTTTTCAAAAATAAGGGAGTGACTTGGCATATTTTTGGCATATTTTCAGATGAGGAGTGCATAAATTACTTTTATAAAAGACATCTGTTTGCCAATAAACTTACTTTTATGACAGGGGACTGATATAGGTAGTTAAGGTGAAGGCATGTTATCATAATATAAATGGCAGACACTGATATGGCATTCATAACCACCACCAGTGACATCATGTTTATTTTCATTCTTTCTTCTCTTTCGCAGTCTAAACGTCTACATCAGTGTTATTTCATTTTTATGTGTCTCATTCAGTTCATATAAAACAAAATTCTCTAATTATGTTATTTTGTACTTTATTTAATTAGGACAATCTCTTTGAGTGGCATTTTACTCTTCGTGGGCCTCCAAACACAGATTTTGCAGGCGGTGTTTATCATGGAAGAATTACTCTACCCCCTGATTATCCAATGAAGCCTCCTAGCATTATCATGCTTACCGTATGTTTGAAAATTTATTAGTTTTTATATATATTTTCTAAAATTAGTACAAAGTGATATACTGTTTAATGTGATCTAGAAATTAGTAAATGGTACTGATTTTCCAGATGAAAATGTTAAATGTATTCAAAGATAGAAATGTTAAGGCATCTTGTCCTGACGAGCAATAACTTCTTTTCTTAGAGTTATGACATTTTTATCCTTATGCCTTCATATTTTGTGGGTGCATTCTTCGGGCAACTTAAATTTATAACTTAATGTATATTTTATCACTACTTGTTGAGTAAAATGGAAAAAAGAATAAGCATATAAAAATATTGTAGCAAAATCAACTCCTGAACTTCTGCAGAGATTAAATGTGTTATTTAAAAAGTTAAAACACCTAGAATAATATATCAAAAGATCAAATGTAGAAGTTTGCTCTGTATTTATATATCTTTCTTGATTAATCAGTTTGACTGGTTTTTATATATGTTTACTAAAATTAGTACAAAGTTATACACAATACAGTCAAAAGTCTTTAATCCCGATGTCCATAATCCGGACCTCAAAGCTGCAAGCTTTATGCGCATGCGTCAACGCATTGCACGTAATACCTTTATGCATGCGCATATGCATGTACTCGTGCGCATAATACGTTTACGCATACGCGTTTGATGTATAACGGATGGTATAAGCTAAGCTAAAATTATCTAATTATCTATTTCAGTGAATGTTGCAGATTGCGTTGTTCCTAAATCTTCGAATTGGATCCGGCTTATTATTTTTTGCAGACTGTTAGAGCAATTTTATAAAAGTAAGCTTGAACTTTTGATTATGTCAAAAAGAATTTCTGATTCTGGAGCTGCCAAAGGATCTACGAAGTGAAAGCATGTTTCGATGTCCATCAAACAAAAAGTGGAATTGCTGCAAAAAATGGGTAAAGGCATATCCTTTGTTTCTCTAACCATTCCGAGATCTGTTTATCAATTTCACGCTGCTCTGCGGGGGGGGGGGGGACGGACGTTGCGGCGCGCAATGAACTGAATGTGGATCTGTCAGCACTATCCTTATCTTCAGAGCAGATGTTTTTATTTTATTCGGCTTATAATTCCTTGCTAAATGTAGTATTTCATCTCGATGTACTCCGTCTTTGATATGATTTAAATCAAATTCCTCGTCATTATAAATATCACGAATACACATCAAATAGTTTTCTGGTTGCAATTTTCTAATTTTGACTATGCGTAATGTATGCTTTACGTATGCGCGCATTGAAAGAAATGTTTAATAAAGTAAACAAATAAATATTAAGCTTTTTTTCTGTAAATTTTGATACCCTTTAGATCATAATTGCTCTTTATTTCATAAATTACGGTTCATTTTATAGTTTCTGCATGCCATCTTATCAGATTTAAGCTGATGATCTATAATTCAGAAAAATGGATAATCTGGAATCGCTGAAGTTGCGATGAGTCCGGATTAAAGACTTTTGACTGTATTTTAGAAATTCTAACTTCAGAATGGCATTTTTTAATCTTTAAAACAATTGAATGAAACATGGTTTCCACTCCAAAACAGGTATCACCTAGCAGGCGAATCAGCACTCGGCAAGTTTGCTACCATTGAAAATTGTTCATGAACAGTTTTAATAAATTTAATTCCATAGGACATTCTGTTTTGCAAGTGAAACCAGCTATGATTTAAATTTGTACATTCTTTGGATTCTACTTCTGATTTCAAAAATTTTAATAAGCTGTCCAGTCTGTTTTTTGGGTCTGGATGGTCAACATTTACATTTCGTTGATAGGTTCTTAAAAAATCTATTAAGCGAGGCTTGTTTAAAAGGCAAAGAAGTGCAGCACTTGTATCTGCAGTTGTGTCAAACATTTCTGCAATACATATCATCATATAAGGCACATAAGGTGTTTTGAGAATGACTGGACTTGGCATTTCTCAGGAGTGGTTTTAACATTTTCTCATATCAATTTTCATTTGCAAGTCATTTCAACCAAGTCTTCAAAAATTCTGTGGCCTTGGTATAATTAACTGCTCAAGGAGAGAAACTTTTCATAACCTTTCCTTCCTTGCATGTCAACCCTCATGAAACAAATACTGAAATTTATCATAGTCCGAAATCATGGCATTTTACCCCCCCTTTTTTAAGCTGACTCGAAAACAAATGGCCATTCTTTAATTTTCCGTCAAATTTTCGTAACACAGGCTTTCGTAATTCAAATGTATTTTTGCATTAATTCTCATTAACAGATTCATTCAAAAATTAAAAAAAAAATCAAATTTGACATATGTTTTGAACATTCTCAAGAACACCTTTGTTAAGTTTAAATTCTAATGGTCTTGTCTCTGTAGTATTCAATAGTATTACTCTGCTTTAGTTTTGTTTTTGGTCAGAGTGCTGAGAAAAACGTGTATTTTCCAAACATTGGGCTTTTGAAACAAAAACTTTGAGCTCCAACTATATTCCAGAAAATCTACTTCACTTTTGTGTACAATTTCTTATAAAGCAGTGAAGGATTTCATAAATGCAGCTCTGTGAAACTTTAACAGCTTCTTTACCATCAATTTCTATGTTTTAGAATTCCAATCAAACACCTCTTGTGTCCTGCTGAGCATAGCAGAAAATATTCTCTTATGGGCCAAAATAAGCTATTTTCTACCAGCATATCATAGACGCTTAGAGACTAATAAACATATTTTAAATTATCATTTGCATTTGAAAATAGGTTTGTATCTTAAATCTCTGTTTTATAAAATCTCTCTCTTGTAAGCAATAAACACTCTTTAATAAGTCTGCTATACACACATTTTAGACTCATTCTAGGCTCTTCAGTGTCAGAGTGATAAAGTCAATGAACACTGGTAGTTCGGTCTGAGGCTCGAATTCTCCAAAGGGCCTAGCTGTGTGTCTGTTTTCATGGTTTCCCCCCATGTATAATGTGTATACGAACCAGTTATCTTCAGAAAGACCTCCATGAAGGCATCTCTTCCCTTAGGCAGATAGCCTTCGAGGCTTTGCTGTAATCACATAAACCAAACCAAACATAAACGCATTCTAGAAGTTGTTTGTTACCACTTCCAAGAAAGAGAACTGCTAATAATTGTTAATGGCAAAAACATAAATAAACTAAAGTGTACATATAATACAAACTACATGCTGTCTTACATCCAACATACCTTTGTTATTAACAGAAAATTACTATTGCTGTACTTGGTTGCATGTGGGGGAGAGGATGTTGAGAAGGCAAGAGAAACAAGAAAATATGTTTATAAGGCTTATAATCACATACGAAATAATGGCTGAGGCTTGTACTCACTTTCCCAATTTCTTACCGCATTTCATGTTTCACAGGAGGCTGGGTATTATCCTCTATATCCCATAGAGATTTTAAATTAAGACATCTTTGATATGTAGCATATTGAGTAGGAGAGGCCAGCATACTTGTGATCTAGAAGTTAGGATTTAATAAAAATGTGTTATTAGACTAAATTATGGAAATTTACTAATAAAATAAAAAGCCTTTTTTCAAAATCAGCATTAATCTCAGTCACTGTAAGTAGAATTGGCGAAAGCAGAGAGTTACCTCTACATAAAAGTGCTTTTCAGAGATTTTGCTTTCTTCATACCAAATCAGATCATTTTGCTAATAAAATATGACTTTTTGTGTTGTATTTGCTTTTCTGGAATCTGTTAATACTAAATTCAATTACGTATGAACTGCTTACAACAGAGGTTTCTTTCCTTGTATTAACATAATTTTACAAAGTTAACTCACGCTTTAAAGACAGCTAAAGAATGATGCACAGTAACATAAAAATATATGTATTTAATTCTTAACTCTTTTTGCTTATTGCATGCTCCGCCCTTATGCACTACACGGAAAGGGAGGAATGCCTTGTGGAGATCTTTTTAAGGGAAACTGGCTCGTATCCACGTTACACATGGGGAAAACCACGAAAACGCCCATGCAGCCAGCCCGTTCACCGGGACTCGAACCCCCAGACTGAACTACCAGTGTTCAGCGGCTTTTACCGCTCGGCCGCTGGTGGGCCTGTGTATTTTATTTGATTGATTTTTCTATCTTGCTTACTGCTGTAAAATAAACTTTATTGTTTGCTGCTACTGATTTTTGGAAATGTGTTTAAAGCTGTCTTTTCAGTAATGTTTCTAGAATCGTTTACAGTATTGTTTTTGGTCTGCCTTTTAGTTCATTTTTAGACAATGTTTAAAGAAGATTCTTGTAAAGCTACGTTTATACAGTAATATAGAACACGCAGTATAATCCATTTTATATACGTGATCTTAATCATTTGTGTTTTCTGTACCAATTGAGTCTGATATATGTCAATTTTCACTCTTTTAATTGTGTTGTTTTAATTATCCAAAGCTGTAGAAATATCATTACAATTAATGATATATTAAAAATATCTTGTAACATTTTGTGAAAATTACCTTCTGATTTGGAAAAAAAGGAAGCAGTGAGAAATTATTAATCTGTTGCAAGTCGGTTGGATGTTTAGTTGCAGCTAGCTTTACACTGTTCTGTTAGGATATCATTGTACAGCATAAGCAGATTTCATATGCTGTACAATGATACTCTAACAGAATGCCAAAATAATATGCTAATTAATGGAGGACTATTGATGATTTAATAATGTATTACATACTACCTTTTCCTTATTTGCAACAGATAGCACTATATGAAGTTATAAGAACTTAAGAAACATGTTATGCTTGTGATATTCTTTTATGAGTGGATTCAGCCAGTTTGCTTCCAGTGCAACCGAGACTATAGAATTAAGTATGACAACAGCGAGCTAGCAGATAACATTCAATTAACTACATCTATGCTCCCACAAACTGAAAAACAACAGTGAAAAACAACAAAACTGTGTGGGAAGTCATATGCAAAAGTTGAATATCTACTTTTGAACATTTTCATGACACCTAGCATGTATTGGGTAAATAGACGTGATCAGTGGCAGGGGTGTTTGCAGTCTGGATATAGCCAGAATTCCAGATTTTTAACTTTCTCAAATCAAAATTACATATCATATTTAAATCAGTTGTGTTAATTAATTAAAACAACTGATTTAAATATGATATATATCGACACCTGTTTTACTTTGCTCACATGTGCATGCTGTTAACAGTTCATTTAATTCAATCAGTCAAGTAAACAGTTTTTCGTACATCCTTGAAGACTGATAGCCCAGTGAGTTCCTCTAAAAATCCTGTTGGTAAAAGTTTAGGGATAATGTAGCGAATAACTAGGCAGCTTAATAAAATTATATTCGTTCATTGAGCTATTCAAGCTCTGATCTAATATTTGAAGGGCTTAGGTGAATAGACGAAATGTTTTGTTGATCAGACCAAAGGAAAATATCAATGCAACAGTTCCCAGAAATTAAATTATTCCTCTCAAAGAGAAAAAATGCAAGCTAAACATAACAATTATTATTAAAAGTTAAGAAAACGTAAGAGTAGTTAACTCTGTGAAATGATGTGAAACAAATAAATTTTTAATAAATTAAAAAATTAACCTTTTGCTTCTGTGATGACATTATTTGAAAATATGTGCTTTTGTATGTGTTTCACATTAATATTTGGCATTGTGTCAAATTTTTCGTAGTGGGTAGTTTTTAGTATTTTTGAAATGCAGTCACAGTCACCACTGCAATGGGTGTTAAATGAGCTAATTGAAAAATACATCAGCAAGTTTTGTAACTTTATGTGAATTATTTCTGAAATTAAAAAAAATTGGTTATGTGGTCATGATGAACTGTAGATAATTCTAACATTATTACATCAGGAAATATTAGGGCACAATTGTACTTACATATGTTTATGTAATAAATTAACCTGCTTACAATGTATAGCAATGAATCATTCTGTTCTAAATAAGAAACAAATTATGTTTGAATAATGTGTTACAAGCAGAAATAAATCTTTATAGATATTACTCATTTTTGATTTTTTAAAAAATAAAACACTAAGGGCCAAAGAAAATTGCAAGGTTCCACATAGCAGTTTACATCAGAGGAAAGTGATGAATGATTCTGTGGTAGACATGCTGGCATTACCTATAATTGCTTTTTTTGATTGTTAGACAAGTATGCAGCAAATGTATGAAAAAGTGCATACATCAATCCGTATTTATTGATAAACAAGTTTTCATTTTGCTCAAAATAAATCCTAACCATGTCTGATTATAAGCACTGCCAAAAATAAATTATTTGAAAATATGAAATACTGCTAAATCATAGTTTTACATTCTGTGCCTGTCACTAACAGACTATCACAAACCTGTTTAGATACTTCTTTCAGAAATTTTCTGTCTATGCAAACCAAAGCCTATGTGTGAATTATTTTGCCGAAGTGCTTCTGCAGGAGTAATACTTTTTAAAATTTGCTTTACATAATTAATATAAAGTTTGTTCTGAAATTTCTTCCTTCTTGACAAGTTTTATTTAAGCTTATAGTATTTATATAAAATTCCTTGACTGTGTGGCTTAATAGACTTTATCCTTTAAAATTCCACTTGAGGCAGAAGCAGTCTTTTGTTATGTGATATTACGAAGTTCTTTGTCGTGTTTTGGCAGATTTTATCAGCCTGAGATGTTTAAAATGTCATATTAAACAACCTGCCCACCAGCAGCCGAGTGGTAAAGTCGCTGAACACTGGTAGTTCGGTCCGAGGTTCGAATCCCGCGAACAGGCTGGCTGCATGTGCGTTTTCGTGGTTTTTCCCATGTGTAACGTGTATACGAGCCAGTTTCCCTTAGAAAGTCCTTCATGAAGGCATCCCTCCCTTTAAGCAGATAGCCCTCGTGTGCTTTGCCATAATTAAATACACCAACACCATATTAAACAACCAAAGTCTTTTTTCTAAATGTGGTATTAATTAATCTGTCATCACTAACCTATCTTATATTATCTGCAGAACCTCAAGTTATCAGTTAATGTTTTTCTTTGAAATATTTTATGCATTAAAATAGCTCAGCCTGAATTAGTGGTTTCAATTCTAATGACTTTCTAAGATTGTTTTGTGAACAGTTTTCAAAAGAAAAGTTTCAATACAAACCCTGTGTGCATCATTTGTCTGTCTTTCCCAACTTTCCTCTTCAAATTAATTCAGTAGATGGTACTTTATTCAAGATATCTACTGATAGAGCCAAGGCATTCTTAGGCTTTTTGCTATGTAGTGCAGTTACCACCAACCAGAGCAACTACAGTGGTTGCCCTAATTTTGGCACTTTCCTTTTGTACAGAATATATGATCTGAATAAAAAAAAAAATTGTGTATTGTCACTTCAGAGGTGTAGGCCCCTTTTTACCTGAAATCAGTGTTAAACAAGTTACATTTCTCCCATTTTTTACTGCTTTGATGTGTACGTGTTTTATTCTTCTTATTGCAATGACCTCCTCTGTACTGAACCATTTATTCTTGTGTGTCTCTTTATTTAAATTTGATCATGAAATTTATTCCTTTGTTTCTGTTTCATTGAAATGTAATTTTTTGCTTGTTGTTCTCTGTATATATGTATCTTTTGCTGTGATGTTCACCTGTATATTCAATGAAATGTTGTTTAAACTTCAGCCCTTAATTATATCTGTTATACTTTTTAAAGAACTATGTCATTTAACTTTTTTTAATGTGTGCAGCCAAATGGAAGATTTGAAGTAAATAAGAAAATATGTCTAAGTATATCTGGACATCATCCGGAATCTTGGCAACCATCTTGGTCAAGTATGATGTGTTTATAACATAAGTGTATTGTATTAGTAGTGTATTTAGTTGCATATTCTCCCTTTTATTACTAATTTCATCATACGAAATCAGGAGGGGAAAATTATGCAAATATTTTAATCTCCGAAGGATGCGGTACAGTGAGAATATAAATAGTGAAAAGTATTTGTTGATAAACTATTGGTAACTATCAGAATATTATTTATTTGAGAGAAACCTACATTCCTTTAAGAATAATTAATATTACTAATATCTAGTTAGGTGTCTTCATTTCTGCTTGCATTTATCTTGAATCTCACCCACTGTTATTGCTTCCAGGCCACTGTTGCTTAGGCCTCAAATCGTTTAATGTTGCTGGAACCATTCTTTGTGTTGTCTGCTGCAGCTTGCAAATTGTTGGCATCGTCATTGCTGAGTCTGTCTTCCCATATGCAGTTATCTTAACCATCAAGAGTATTAGATATCCCTGTTTTTTTTTTTTTTTTTTTTTTTTTTTTTTTTTTTAAAGCTTGTTGCTATTATTGCTTCATCAAGAAGAGCCCATGCATCTAAAACCCAAAGTTAAATTAATTAGATGAAAACGACCTCTGTGTGGACTAATGCATTTTGAAATTCATGGAAAACTCACTTTTGTGAATACTTTGAGGAAGGCAAAAATTGCATCAATACTTAAAAAAATTTCTGAACCGTGTTGCCAAAGCTAAAGGGGAAAATATGCAAGTAAATACAAAATTTTTCAGTAAATTCCACTATGTTTTTTCTGACTAGTTTTGAAACTTTGTTATGTAAATAATATAATGTGAATTTTTTTCCTGACTAGTTTTGAAACTTTGTTATGTAAATAATATAATGTGATATTAAAAATAATTAATTGCTTTGATATTGCAAGAAATTCTTCACATGTAACCTAATTTCGTTGTTTACAGCAGTCTTCATAGATAGTTGTGTTATTGAAGTATTACAGATATAATGGATAAACCAGTTTAAATGTTGAATAGACTATGCATTAAAAGTAATTAAAATATTTGTGATATGAATTAATTTTGTTAACATCAGTATACTTTTCAGTTACTGAAAAAAATGTTATTACCTTAAAAAAATCATTATCACTGAAAATCATTCAACTATTTAATACATTTAAGCATATTTTTAATTACCTTAGCTAACCTTTGGCCTATCGCCAGCACATTTCCAAAACATTAACAGTTTTGTTAAACATATTTCCAATCTTATGTGATACATCTGAAATATTAATTTTGGCAACTGGTTTTGCGATGAATAATAATATTGGTTGAACTTTATAGAAATCGGAAAGCTGAGTTCAAAATTATTTTTCAGTGCATTTAGGTTTTCCGAGTATTTCTCTGTTTCAATTGCCTTGTGGTTATTAATACGGCTTGATGAATTCTGAAAATGGGTGAAATTTGTTTCTTTCATCTGATTTATCCACATATTTAACTTTATCTGAAAAGCAGTTACAGTCCCAGTCAATTGAAAAAGGGTTCTTTTCCCTGGAGATCTTCGTTCAGATTAGCTGTTATATCCGTGAGAAAATACAGATTTGATAACCAATTTTTATCGTCTAATTCTTTATAACTTTCATTTCCGGATTCTAAAAGCTGTTTTATTGGCGAAAGAAGTTCTTCAAATCGTTGAAGTACTTTTTCCCTGCTGAGCCATCTAACATCGGAAAGAAGTAATAAGATTCCATGTTTACTATCAAGTTCATCAGTCAGCAATCAATTATTTTATAATGTCTTGCAAAATATCTCTTATGACTATAAATGTTTACCATATTTTAACAATTAAAAAAAATAAATGAATGGTTATTTTAAAAATATCTTTTGTTCATAGTACCTAATCAGGCTGGCGAGCACATACAAAACGATCAGCGAGCACAAGGTTGGGCATCGCTGCCTTAACTGTTGAATAGATTTAATACTGCAGTCATTATCAGTCATTTTCCAGTCACTGAGCTAACCTTTGAAATTGTATTCGCTAGGCCTATGCTACTTGGTATTGCAAAAACTTCTGAATGTTAAAAATGAATGTCTAATTGGAAGGTGAAGATTTTCAGCACATTTAAACATTTCTTTATGTAAGGAATGAAAATTATTGAAACTACAAAATAATTATAAATAGGTTTCTAATCCATGCCAATGCATTCTAAAATATTATTACTTATTGAAAATATTCTTTTTGTGTATCAGGTTTCATAATTTGAAACTTTATATTTAGAATTTTATGTTTGATTTATATCCAGTTTTGTCATATTTGCATTCACAATTTTAATGATATTAATAATACATGTAGGTAAATTTTACTAATTAGTGTACTTGAATTATGGTAGAGGTATGTGTAGTTTAGTAATATTTCTGTAGCTATCTGTCCGAAACAAAAGTGCTGTCTAAGAAATATTTTTAGTGCCTATGAGTACTTTGATGTTTATTAGTAAACTAATAAATGGTTCAAGTTGTATGTATATTATTTTTAAATGACTTCTTCCAGCTGTCAGTTCTTTATATTTGTAATAACTTAACTGTTCTGCTAGTTTTAAGCTTTTAACTCTCTGAGTGGTATGAGTTTTTTGATCTGCTCGTGTAGACTTACTGAACCTGTATTTAATAGCTAAATTTGTATTAGTACTTTAAGTCTATTTTCATAAGCTTTCATTTGGTAAAGTGATATTTATGTGATTAAAGAAAATAGTAAATAAAATATTGTAAATTACCTAATATGTACCAAGAGAGAAAAAATCTCATGAGTGGTTATGCCAATCAGGGTTCACCAACAAAAATCAGAATAATAATCCATAATAAATTCAGTTGTTTACTGTTTATGATAATTGTACCACACAGACACTGTAATAAAGCAGACTGAGCTAGTAAATAAATTTTTTATTTACTTGGATTCAGTATAATGGAATCATCAGTAACAAAATCAAGTTACGTTAGACATGGTTTTTTTTTTCTTGGTGAGATTTCTAACTGACAGAATTGTGTAGTTTGCAAATCAGTGATGTTTGAGATTAAATACATGCCGGGTGTAAGCCTGAGAATCATTAAGTAAACTATGTTGTGTACTAAGTGTAGGTCCCCTCCTAGAAAAAGGTCTTAGTCCTTTCTTAACATGTTGACTGCTGCAGCAAATCTACTAAAATACTCTTTCAGACCTTTTTTTTTTTAAATTCTAGTGTTTTCATGCCCCATTTATCTTAAAATTCAGTTCAGTACCTAGTTTTCATTTGAATGCATTATTGTGTATTTTCACATTTAATTTTTTGTAGTACAATTCTAAATTTCTATATTTGTCGTATTTATAAATAAATTGTAACTTAATTCATTATCAAGAAACACAAGAGTTCATTAGTAAAAATTAGTAAAATTAGACAAATAATATGACACAATACAAATAGTAAAACTGCATATATAACCAAAAATGAATAACTTAGTGAATGTATGAATATCTTAAAATGTACCACTAGTCTTGTACTCTTTCCGTAAACAACACTGTCCCCTTTAATTATAGCTTCATTGCCTTACTAACATAAAAACATAAAAAGTTACTGCAACATAATATATATTTATAAAAACCATGATTTATTGAAAAAAACTTCCAGAAGCTTAAATGAAGAATACAGAGCAACTTTTTTGAGTCTGTAGAAATAATTTTAACCATATAAATCTGTGTGTTTGTGATGAGCCTGTGACTCACATAGTTTCAAGCGATACAAAACCTGTGAATCACATTTGATGGACATGGCTTTGAAAAGTAAGGCTGTGTTAAATCAACAGTGATGCACATGGCAGTCAAGGTGTTAAATATAACCTTGCAGTTTCTCATAACTATAATAATTCTACTTTTGTATAGTAAAAATTAATTAAAAAATGATAAATTCATATCTGAGGATTAAAAAAACTCTTTTATAATAAAATGATTGAAAATTTAATTTGATATTTTATATTGAAAAATTGCTTAAAGGCATGGCAAATTATAAATTGACAGTAATATTGTGCAAGAGAATCATTATACGAGTCATTTTTTTACTGTAAATTAATGAAATTTTGCATACATTTTTTACAAGTATTGTATTAAACGATAAAACTGTATATTTAAAAAAATATATAAAATATGTTTTAATAAGGCATTTCATTTCAGTGCAAGTAATATAAGCATATGTATAAAATAAATGTTATCTTTATACTTGTATACAGTCAGAACTGCTTTGCTAGCACTTATTGGGTTTATGCCAACTCATGGAAATGGTGCCATAGGATCTCTAGATTATACACCAGGGGAGAGACAACAATTAGCTGTAAAGTGAGTTAATGTTTTTATTACAGATATGCAGTTATTGTTTTAATTATGCTCATTTCAAACTCAGTATACTGAAATTAAGAACTTAAAACTGAGAGAAAATCCTTTATGATGTAAATTGATATGTTAAATCTAGTTCTTTCTTTTATCAAGAAAGCTTGTGTAGTGTTGAAATTTAGATCTTTTTTTCTTTCCCTGCTGTGTTGTGGTGTGTAATGTATGTGTAGGCAGATTCTATACAGTTAATTCTTCTAAAGACAATATGTTTGTATCAATTGTAAATACAAATGTGTTTCATTTGTATCTGCAGGTAACCAGTTGCTATCCATACTGGCCTTACCTTTATGGGAAAGCAAGGCTATTAAAAAATCTAGTTAATTATCTGAAGTTTTGATGATCTATTTCTGAGCAATTCTTAGGATTGTAAATATTGTTATAAATTTCATTTCTGATCTTTAAAAAGTGTAAATAATGATTTCAGATCTCGAGACTGGAAATGTGCTGATTGTGGAGATGTAAATAAAGTTTTTGAGAAAGACTTGACTGAATCATCTGATGAAGTCCAAACTGACAAAAAGATGTATGAGGTTGGTAAATGTTAGCAATGTAATTAACATAATTGTAGTAAATGCATGATTTTAATTACAGTAAAGATTTTGTTACCCTAAGTAAATAAATAACTGAATTTTATGCATACACCTGTATAACATGTTTCAGTGGAAAAAGTTGGTTCTGTATTGCATGTTCAGTTAATCTTGGATTTTTTCAGTTTATCATATATCATAATGTATAAAACTTTTTTCTAGCTTAGCACTTATGAGTAGTCTACATTGAGAATCCTTGGGGTTTTTAATAATTAATTTTATAAACTGCTTAAATATGTGTAAATTATCAAAGCATATTATCAGAGAATTTATCAGGTGTAAATTATCAGAGCATATTATCAGAGAATTTATTTTTTTAAAATGCTGTATAATCCTTTGTGACTATGTAAAGTGCATGAAACAGGAGAAGTATATATTGTGCCTTTTTACACTTGTATTTTAAATAGTAGTTAATTATTCGGAATAGATTTTATTGTAAAAGACATAATTTTCACAATATAATCAAAAATTCATAACTCTATGCCCCTTGTAATTAAAGTTTTCAAATTTCCTAAATATTTATATTTATTTATTCATTCATTAATATTATTATTATATATCAATTTATTCATGCTGTAAATGTACCAAAATCAGTGTAGCTACAAAATTATGTAGTGCAAAATTTGTTGAATTTAATTTGCATAGTTTGGGGAATCTTTACTCTAATCTTTGTAGAATGAAAAAATGTCATCTGGAACATCATATATAGTTCCATACTTTGAATTTTTAGTAACTGCATTTCCTGTGGAATTAATTGCTGTAATATGTCATACTTTGCAATACAGCTATCCTTAAAAGTGCTTTTGTTATCCCTGTGACCAGCTCATAGTGCATGTATGATAAAGCTGCTTTATCTCATGAATTCCTCGCCCTAGTCATGACCTCTTGCAAGTTATGGTACTGTGCCATTTTTGGAGATATATTTTCTCTTTACAGAAAGCTGTAGTCATCCACAATTCATTTCTTATACTTTATGAAACAGCTGTTTTCACACTCATTTTTTTAGAGTACAAAATATTATTCCCATATGTTATTAAATGAAGTGTTAACTGAAGACTTATGAAGTAGGAGTGCTGAAATAATCTTAGACTTATGAAGACTTATGAAGTAGGCTTATAAAACCAATGTCTGATTTTTACATCACCAATAGTCAAGTGACTTTTCAGATGATGGTTTTTTTGTTATCTAAACATAAAAATAGTTTTATCTATCTGTTAATATTATAAAGCATTAAGTAGCGATTTATAACCTTAAATTATGCCAAGTCTGAGACAGATTTTATTGATGTAATTTATGCTAGTGTTTAACACACTAGTGTTGAATTTAATTTGCATAGTTTGGGGAATCTTTACTCTAATCTTTGTAGAATGAAAAAATGTCATCTGGAACATCATATAGTTCCATACTTTGAATTTTTAGTAACTGCATTTCCTGTGGAATTAATTGCTGTAATATGTCATACTTTGCAATACAGCTATCCTTAAAAGTGCTCTTGTTATCCCTGTGACCAGCTCATAGTGCATGTATGATAAAGCTGCTTTATCTCATGAATTCCTCGCCCTAGTCATGACCTCTTGCAAGTTATGGTACTGTGCCATTTTTGGAGATATATTTTCTCTTTACAGAAAGCTGTAGTCATCCACAATTCATTTCTTATACTTTATGAAACAGCTGTTTTTCACACTCATTTTTTTAGAGTACAAAATATTATTCCCATATGTTATTAAATGAAGTGTTAACTGAAGACTTATGAAGTAGGAGTGCTGAAATAATCTTAGACTTATGAAGACTTATGAAGTAGGCTTATAAAACCAATGTCTGATTTTTACATCACCAATAGTCAAGTGACTTTTCAGATGATGGTTTTTTTGTTATCTAAACATAAAAATAGTTTTATCTATCTGTTAATATTATAAAGCATTAAGTAGCGATTTATAACCTTAAATTATGCCAAGTCTTGAGACGATTTTATTGATGTAATTTATGCTAGTGTTTAACACACTAGTGTTGAATTTAATTTGCATAGTTTTGGGGAATCTTTACTCTAATCTTGTAGAATGAAAAAAAATGTCATCTGAACATCATATAGTTCCATACTTTGAATTTTTAGTAACTGCATTTCCTGTGGAATTAATTGCTGTAATATGTCATACTTTGCAATACAGCTATCCTTAAAAGTGCTCTTGTTATCCCTGTGACCAGCTCATAGTGCATGTATGATAAAGCTGCTGGTGATTTTATCTCATGAATTCCTCGCCCTAGTCATGACCTCTTGCAAGTTATGGTACTGTGCCATTTTTGGAGATATATTTTCTCTTTACAGAAAGCTGTAGTCATCCACAATTCATTTCTTATACTTTATGAAACAGCTGTTTTTCACACTCATTTTTTTAGAGTACAAAATATTATTCCCATATGTTATTAAATGAAGTGTTAACTGAAGACTTATGAAGTAGGAGTGCTGAAATAATCTTAGACTTATGAAGACTTATGAAGTAGGCTTATAAAACCAATGTCTGATTTTTACATCACCAATAGTCAAGTGACTTTTCAGATGATGGTTTTTTTGTTATCTAAACATAAAAATAGTTTTATCTATCTGTTAATATTATAAAGCATTAAGTAGCGATTTATAACCTTAAATTATGCCAAGTCTGAGACAGATTTTATTGAGTAATTATGCTTTGTTTAAACACACTAGTGTTGAATTTAATTTGCATAGTTTGGGGAATTTTTTACTCTAATCTTTGTAAATGAAAAAAATGTCATCTGGAACATCATATAGTTCCATACTTTGAATTTTTAGTAACTGCATTTCCTGTGGAATTAATTGCTGTAATATGTCATACTTTGCAATACAGCTATCCTTAAAAGTGCTCTTGTTATCCCTGTGACCAGCTCATAGTGCATGTATGATAAAGCTGCTGGTGATTTTATCTCATGAATTCCTCACCCTAGTCATGACCTCTTGCAAGTTATTGTACCGTTATCGCTCAGATTGGCGAAAGTGACATTTCATTTTAAACGACGTTTGCTTCTTCGTATTGTATTATATCGCTCACACTCTTCTCATTTTAAACTTTATTGTTAGATATGGAAGGGGGGACCAATTTTGCATGGTTTTTAATTAAATGTTGTTATGATTTGCTAATCTTCTTTTAATAGTAGTTACTCAACGCATTCAGGGGGTGGAGTTTTAATATGAAAAACAGGCAGGATTCTGAATAGTTTGTTAAAATACAGAATACTTTTTAAAGTATTTCAGTGTGAAAATAATTGTTAGAAGAATGTACATATAGGTTACAAAACTATCAGTAAAATCCAAGTTGAGCTAGCATTCCTAGTGCATTTCTCAAGCAGCAAAAACTACATTGGAGCTGGAAAGAAAATAATTGCTCCAATGTTAAGCATTAAATCCATTTCAGCGTTTGACATTCGTCATACAAAATTTCATGACTCATATTTTTCTTTATAGCTTTTATAACTTCTTTATTTTAAAGAAAAATATTATAATGCAAATATTATATTAATATATTAATATTATAATACAAATATTAATATAGTGACACAGGTATACTGTCTCATGGTCACGTTTTCTGTGGTGCTTTCGGTGATAAATTTGAATTTTTAGTGTATGCTACACTATTCGGAATGTTTCTTCATTTAAGTGGCTCTCCAAGACTGATGGATTGTCTACGGATGACCATTCTTTTTCAGAATCAGGACCATCTGAATCTGGGCTTGAATCAGAACTGCTTAAAATTTTTGGTCGGAAAAATGTCTTGGATATCATATAATTTCATTGTCACTAGTGGCATGTAATGCTGTTATCACATACGATATTTGTTGCCGGAACAAAACGTTTGGAGGAACAGTTCTGAGAATCACTGTTCCGTGAAATCGGGTTACCATCTTCATTTGATAAATAGGCTGAATGCCAAACACGAATCAGTTATCGCTCAGATTGGCGAAAGTGACATTTCATTTCAAACGACGTTTGCTTCTTCGTGTTGTATTATATCACTCACACTCTTTTCATTTTAAACTTTATTGTTAGTTATGGAAGATAATAGAAAGGTAATTGCTATCAAGTTAATCACTTTGATCTCCACTCTGGCACTTCAAGTAACAGATAAACACACTTCTGGTTATAGCAATCAATTACATCAGTAATAGCCAAATTCTGTATACACTAAGACTAGTTTAAAACGTGTGCTGGATAAGTCTATTTATCAGACATTACTTATGTGTATTTTCTGATGTCTGCATTCCAATGAAAATTTGATGGCTCACTGGAAAATTTGTGACCTGTTGAAAGCATTTTCTTGACTAACTTTATGGCTCATAATTACTGTTCTGTCCATAAATATAAACAAACAAAGAGATCCCCCCCCAAAAAAACAACTTTTTTTGACAAAAATCTTAATAGCTGATATTTACATCCTCACAGCCAGCAGATACTATTCAGCAAAATGAAGATTAAATAAAGCATATGAACACATGAGCAATCAAACATGTACAAGTTGTTTACTGTCCCATAGAACACTCGGTAATATACCTTAAAACATATTAATTATACCAACTCTAGAAATTAGGAGGTGCACATCATGAGTTTGTTTTATGCGATTACGGTAAAGCTTCCAGGGATATCTGCTTAACAGGAGGAATCCCTTTGTAGAATATTTTTAAAAACTGGCTCGGAAAACCAAGAAAACGCCCATCTAGCCAGGCCATTCGTGGCATTCTAACCTCAGACAGAGCTACCAGTGTTCAGCGACGCTTCGGCCACTAGTAGGCCCGTGCACATAATTGGAAAGTACAATGTAAAAGTATTATGTAAACACACATGAAGGTGATAATCAGTTGTGCACTGTTTTAAGTAATGAAATGTTATAAATGCACAGCTGTTACATTAATTATTATTTATTAATCATGTTTATATT